TAATCTACATGTAATGATGAATGATCATGGTACGTTTGTTGAGTGTTCAAATTCAACACTAGTTCATATTCAGTATGGTGCAGGCTGGAGCTGGTTTTTTCTTCAAATCTTATGTTAGACAGATCAGTTATGAATTCACAGTGGAAAAATATTAGTTTATCATTTTAAAGAAAGAGAAATAAACTGACAAATAAACACCCAACATTTCACTGGCTTTTACACTTATATATATACAGTATCTGAAAGGGTTCATCAATCGCAACAAACTAGGGACTGGTGTTCTTGTATTTATTAGCTAGTGTGGTCGACCGGCTCGCCCGAACATTGGGCTTCATCTGGACAGTTTAATTGACTACAAAATTTTCCGCTGAAGTACTAATATTATGGATGAGTTTGTATTGTGACATCCTACAATGAACTATTGTTTTTTACATACCCGATAACTCTATATAGATAATGTTTGATAACTCTATAACGTAATAGTTCAATTATGTACCATACTATCTCTATCCGTCCAGTTATTAAATTAATAAATATTCATAATTAAGACATAATCATAGTAAACAGTTCATGATCATAATCCCTAGTTCAATATGGTCTCTCATCTAGGCATACTGTAGAGGTTGACTCTGATACATATCTCAAGTCCCTATAATTAACTTCACTGTTGATCTCTGATATGTTTATTGTGGATGCTGTGCTAGTCGAGTCACTTAAGGCTAGCTCTTCTTTTAGAATATCCATATCACTATCTGGGACCGGTCCAGTAGTATTGGCCGGTGCCCTGGCAGTGATTCCTTTAGCTGGTATAGTGCCAATAAATGTTCTTTGGTCAATGCCTTGAGCGTTCTGGTGCTGACCGTTTTTTGAGCGTCAGCTCAAGTAGGATCCTCTATTAGATCTAGTTCTATCACATGTCCCGGGTGGGTGTTTATTCTGTATATTGTCTGTATGCATTATTGCGTCCGTACCTACATTTGCAGATCTTGCATTTATACCACCTCTGGACGACTGCGTGAGTGGAATTAATGTTCCGCCTTAAGTTTTGTAGACATGAGTAGCTTTTCCCGCATATAATGCACAGGATCCTAGTTTTGACTTTCCGTACTGTAGTTACAGTTTCTGTATATGCAATAATTACAAGCTATAAAACAGAAAATGTTTCCCTGTTATATTTTACTGGAATACTTTTAATCTTTTATGTATGCAGTTTTCACTTGATGATACAATTTAATTGTATAAAAGCTTTAATTTATTGGCTGCTTATTATCATAACATAGACAATTTAAAGGTAAGAATAATTACCAAAACAAACCTTTCGTGATTTACATGCTGTGCAACATTTTTTATTTGGATATCTGTTGTTATCATTTTTAAAAGTATATTTTATTAAAACAAATGGTTGTTTGGAGAAGACATCTAATCAGAACCCAATTTGAATCTAAAATATTAGAACTACAATGTATGTATGTATAATTTTCTGCTGATATTTGAATTGTTTATCCCCCAATACTAGCCAAAATATCAAAGTGTCCTTTTCAGGGTACATTATACTGTTTAAGGGCCTACGTGACCCTGAAAGTATTTCATGTTCTATTTATAGAACCACGCGCTAGAAATAGTAATTTGTAACAGAAATGAAAAGCAGATGGTATCTGTTTATGAAAATTAAACGGACATATTTGGAATATGATAGTATGGTATAAAGTACATTGACATTTTTTTTAAAAAGTGTACCGCTTTAGGTACAGTAACGTTTCATCTAATATTACTTTGAACACATCAGTTAAGGTCCCAATATACCTAGTAGCTGTTGTAACAAATTATCAGGTCCCTAATATAAGCTTGTGCTAGCTACAGGAAACTAACTACCTATCACAAACATACATTTAGCTATTTAGTATTTACAAACCCTTTCTGAATTATATAAAATGCTATCTTAGTTAACCATTGTGCCCTTTCCAAGGACTGGGCTGATCACCAGCGACCAGGCATAGCTGTTCAGCTGGAGTCTGCGATTCTCCGTATCTGTTTGATAATGTAAGACTTCGATTCCGAGAAGTGTGTGTAGTACATACGTATGGAATATGAATTGCTGATATGAATAAAGATGTAGATACGTTGTTACTGTCAGATTAAGCGGACTACCGTTAGACACTTTATGTTGTGGGGAAAATGGGCAACTAGTAGATCTGACAGGGGAAGTATTAGAGGGCGGAGCTCTCTCACGGGCCCAAAGGCCCGTGAGATCGAAGCTCTCCCTATAGATAACACGTATGTAAGAAAAATAAAGAAAAACTTGTCTTAACATGGCCACCGGTCGCACGCGCTGTAGTCTCCGCCATCTTGATCTCGAAACAAGTTCTCATTTGCCGAATCTCGAACAAACGTTACATTTTTGTAAGATTTAAAACTTATATCTAACTATAGGATACTTAAATATTTGATACTTTCCGGTTAAAGATATAAACTCTCTTGACATAACGTTGCCGGCTACATTGCTCTAGTTCTGAATGGTCGAAACATTATTGTATCGGCAGTGTAGTCTCGGTCAATCAGATGCTTGCGCAGACAACACGAGTCTGGTTGAACGAGACTATCACGTAGAGTTACGATCCTTGCACGACAACTCTGGGTAGAGATTGCAATGTTGTATATTTAGAAAACGGAATATCAACAAAACAACGTGGTTGTCAACAAAAAGGGAGTTTATCACAGTGACGCAAAATGATAGAATAAAAAAACGTACAAATATTTTCATCAGAATTTTTTAATTGATATTTTGCACGAAGAAAATAGAAGAAAAAAATTGAATCCATACTGTAACATTTTCATTTTTGATTACTATCTCACAGCTTTTTAGATTCATAAAAGAAAATCTGCTGTTTTACAAATCCGCACGATTTAAAAAAAAAATCTATCCAGTTTAATGTGCTGAACTGATTCAATTTTTAATTGAGGAAACAATACATTTTCTCTATTGCTAAAACTATACATAAAGCAGAGACATATAAAGCATATAGTCAGTAAATTGCTGAAACAAATGTATTCATCCACAATATATATATGATATATAGATCTATTGACTCTCTTGGCTGCAATGATGGGTATTGAAAAATGACAAAAAATGTGATTTCGCATATTCTTCTTATTTTTAATAAACTTCATATAAATCCAGTTTTTATAGCATTGAACAAATTA